GTGCAGGGCGTGCGGCGCGGGCGGGGGCGTGGGGCCGGGCGGGAGCGCGGCGGGCGCATGTGCGTGTGGTTTGTGCGACGACGGTATGGATGAGGATGAGGCGGCGTGGCAGGATCCAATGGAGGATGGGTGTCTTGCGTGACCTTGGACAGTTCAACCCGATCTCATCAGGTGCTGGCCCGATGTTGACCCACGCAGTTAGTTCAGCGGCCTGTGCGCGGCGGTGGCGCGCCCTGCTCGGCGCTGCGTCACAGGGGCTGGGGTCGTTTGTGCACGGCCCTGGCGTGGGGCGCGGCGACAGCAGGCGCAATCGGCGTGCTTGAACTTCTGTGTCTGTCAGACCGCGTCTGTGGTTGGGAGGCCCTGGTTGGGAGGCCCTGGCCTTCCAGGGCTGCTTTTCTTGCCCAACCTGCCTTGTTCTTTGTGCTTGTTCATTACCCTTGACTTGGCTTCTTTGTTTACATTTCTGCGGCTCCACCCAACCCAACAGCGCAAGCAACACAGCTTTAAAACCACAACTCAACCGCCCTGTGTGCATTTCAGTGGGACCAGGCTGTCCCTTCGCACCAGTAATCACACCAACACTGCTCGTACTCATTTTTAATATAGCATTGAGAAATCAGGATCGTTCATGCAGCAAAGTTGAAGCAGCGTGGCCTGTGGGGGCTCGGGAGAGAAGTCTGCTGCCCCGGCCGCCAATGCGCAAGCATGCAATGCTGCTGCCGCCGCCGCTGCTGCTGCTGCTGCTTGTGCCGGTGCTGTTGCTGTCCACGATGCCGCTCACAGCGCCATGCTCACTCCTGCGCATGCGTCGGCGAAGGTATTGGGCGAGGTGTCGAACGGCCCGCCAGCAGAAGCGCTTGTCAAAAACTGCGGTGTCATGACACACGCACCTTCGATCACCCCACCCCACAGGCCACCCCACAGGCCACCCCACAGGCCACCCCACAGGCCACCCCACAGGCCACCCCACAGGCCCCACAGGCCACCGCCACCGCCCTTTGCCCAGCAAAAAAATGGCCCTCACGTCGAAGACCTTGCACTCCAGGTCCCCAGGGTTGGAGGCGCAGAACTCCTCCAGGGGGTCAGCCAGCTTGGTTCTGGGGAGGGGGGAAACGCGCCAGTTTGTGTGTGTGTGTGTGTGCGCGCGCGCTTGTTTGTGTGTAAGGTTGTGAGAGCCGTTGGCGTGCACATGTGCATGCAAGGCCGCGCGTGTACACGTGAGTGGTTGATCTGGCGCTGCGGGGCCCAGGCACCGGGCGAGGAGCCGCCAGGCTGCAGGTCCAAGCAACACTCGCCCCAAAAGCAGCGGCCGCGGCCGAGGCTGCCGCACCCGTCCCGCCCACATCGCAGCCCATCCCGGCGCCGCCGCCCACGGCGCGCCGCTCCCTGTGGCGGCGCCCGCCGCCGCTCACTTGGCCTCGTCGATGGCGTCCGCGATGGAGGAGAACACGGCGTCCATGGAGCGGTTGCCGTCGATTTCCACGCACACTGCGCCGTAGTAGCCGATGACGGCCTCAACATTCTTGAAGTGGGTCTCCAAGCGCGTCTTGCACTGGGGGTTGTTCCGTTGGGCCGGGGGG